TCCTCTGCTCCCCACCCCCGCTTGCGAGTGTGCTCTCTCTCTCTCTCCCCACCTCCCTCAAATAAATAAATAAATAAATAAAATCTTTAAAAAGCAAAATGGGGGCCTTTGGTGCCATGGTCATTTGGCATCTACGGGTCAGTCTTGTGGCCTCTCCCTTGCTCTCAGCCCCTCAGGCACACCCAGGGGAGCCTGGGCCAGCAGGATCTAGGAGGTACCTCCTTTGGCCTTGATCTTGAGCCTGGAGTGACAGGAGGTGAAGGGGGATGCTGCTTTGTAAAGCGTGGGCCTTGCTGGGGCTGAGACCCCTTCACCTACACCATCGCAGACTTGTGAGTGGCCCAGGCCTCCATCTCTCCATCTGTACACTCAGTGCCCCCTACCGCCCAGGCACTGCAGCCCAGATCCCACAGGCAGGGATGGCCCACGGAGGTGCCGGCGTCTCCCTCCGGGGCAGAAAGTGAAGGCCCTGAGAGCTTGGGGGCGGCAGCATCTCGCAGCCTCATTATCTTGCAAAATGCAGAGAGCAGCAAGTACATTCAGACGAATGAATGGCCTAATTAGGATTTCACGGAGAGTGAAAATATTTTGAAAAGAAAAAGTTTAACTAAAGGCATATTCGAAATACCAAACCCTTCAGCTGCAAAGTCAACCTGGCAAGATGTGCCAGGGGGGTGGGGTACTTCCATCTATCCACCTGATAGTGGGCAGCCTTCCTGCGGGCGAGATAAGCTGGGGGCTGGGGGCCCAGGGAAATGCAGGGCTGGGGTAAATGCTACCACGGGCTTTGCAGAGACGGCCCAGGAGAGCCTGTGTGGGCCAGCACAGCACCATCTCGCCCACAGGCCTCACGAGGTTAGCCCTGCTTGCACGGGCCACACCAGCAGCTGTGAATCACCCTGAACAAGGATGGCACAGCCGGAAGCTGGTGCGGCGCCCGAGACGTAACTGCGTCAAGCCCTTCACAAGGCCTACAGGGTGAGCAGAGCCAGGGTCTGAGCCCAAGTCCTCTGTGCAGAACGTTCTTCTTCCTGCCTCGCCTGAGAAGCACGGGCTGTGGGGCTGGGAAAGGGATTGGGGCTCCTGTGGCGACCTGCCCACCTGGAAATGACACAGGAGTCTGATGACAAAGGCCCCTGGATGCCTGGCTGAGAGTTGCACAGGACAGAGAACTGCCATCGGGCACCAGGCTCTCCAGCCACACCAGCAGGGGCCCTGCTTCTGAGGGGCTCTACCGTGCAGGGACCTCTTTTCTCAGAGGGGGACAGGCTCTCTTGTGGGAGCCCTGAGACATGGGGAGACCGGCATAGGACATGCCACAGACCCACACAGGGAGGGCCAATTGGCTCCAAAGAGTGAAGCCTAAGGTGAATCCCACAGAAGTCCCAGGGAGAGGGACCCAACAGAGTGGTTCCAACAAGCACATGTAGGGTAAACATGCAGAATAACCATGACTTTTTTTTTTTAAAGATTTTATTTATTCATTTATTTGAGAGAGTGAGAGAGAGAGCACATGAGAGGGGAGAAGGTCAGAGGGAGAAGCAGACTCCCCGCCGAGCAGGGAGCCCG